CTACTACTACTACTACTACTACTACTACTACTACTACTACTACTACTACTACTACTACTACTACTACTACTACTACTACTACTACTACTACTACTACTACTACTACTACTACTACTTACTACTACTACTACTACTACTACACTACTAACGACGGACGACGACGACGACGACGACGACGACGACGACGACGACGACGACGACGACGACTACTACTACTACTACCACTGCTACTACTACTACTACTACTACTACTACTACTACTACTACGACTACTACTACTACTACTACTACTACTACCACTTCTACTAGTACTACTACGACTACTATTACTACTACCAGTAACACTGCTTTTATTTCTATCACACCAACGACTACAACTAGCATCAGCGTTCGTCTTGCTCCTGGTGTGTGTACCACTACTACTCCTACGGATCGTACTACTACTGGGCGTACTACTACTACTAGTACCACTACTATTATCACTGTTGCCACTATTACCCCACAAACCAACACGACTAGTATCGTTGCCACTTTTGCTGCTGTTACTACTCATACTAGTACTGGTACTACTACTACTACTACTACTACTACCACTACTACTACTACTACTACTACTACTACTACTACTACTGCTACTACTATTACCACTACTACTACTACTACTACTACTACCACGACTATCACTACTACGACTACTAGGACTACTACGACTACTACTAGTACTACTACTACTACTACTTCTGCTACTACGACGACTGCTACTACTACTACTACTGATGATTACGAGTTCTACTACCACTACTATTCCTACTACTACGTCTACTTCTATCTGTGCTACGCCTTCTATTACGATTACTACTACGACGATTATTTCTACTAATACTACGATTAGCATTATTATCAGTACCATTACAACTACAACTACTACTACTGCTACGACTACTACTACTACTACTACTACTACGACTACTACTACTACTACTACTACTATTATCATTAGTACTAGTATTCGAATTCGTACTGGTACTACTGGTATTAGCACTGCTACGACTGTTGCGACTACTACTACTACTGCGATTACTACTACTACGACTATTACTACTACTACGACTACTACTACTACTACTACTACTACTACTACTACTGCCACTACTACTACTACTACTACTACTACTACGACTACTACTACTACTACTACTACTACCTACTACTACTACTACTACTACCTACCTACCTACTACCTACCTACTTACCTACCTACCTACCTACCTACCTACCTACGACTACTACTTACTACTATACTACTACTACTACACTACTACTACTACTACTACTACTATACTACTACTACTACTACTACTAACTACTACTACTACGACTACTACTACTACTACTACTACTACTACTACTACTACTACTACTACTACTACTACTACTACTACTACTACTACTACTACTACTACTACTACTACTACTACTACTACTACTACTACTACTACTACTACTACTACTACTACTACTACTACTACTACTACTACTACTACTACTACTACTACGACAACTATTCCTACGACTACTACTACTACTACTACTACTACTACTACTACTACTGCTACTGCTACTACTACAACTACTACTACTACTACTACTACTACTACTACTACTACTACGGCTCATACTAGTTCCTCCCGGCAGTTGCGTGATTCCTGGGCCATGTTTCTTGGAAATTGCGCGGTCACCTGGAGGGTAATAATATTGCTTCTCCGCTCTTGCATGGACGACGCACAAGCACGTTCATTGCGAGCCAGGTATTCTGGCCACCGCTCGCCCCCCTGGTCGACTGGGGAAAACCCCGACGGGGGGGGGGGGGGGTCGAACTTCGGCAAGCGCGCTCTTCCGCGGAGAGTGCGATGGCGCGGAGGTGCTCGGCGCGAGACGCTTCGGCAGCTGCGGCTGCAACCTTCTCGTCAAACGGGCAGCTTTTCAGGTCTGCGCCGTTCTCGACGAGCTCGCCCACTTGGTCCGTCTTGCACGCGTCGTACGCAGGATCTATCGGTTGCCCCCACCCGCCCTGAGCCTCCGCGATCAAAGCATTCGGGATCTGCCAGCCGCGGTGAAGGCGGACCAGGACCAACGCGACCATTGGCAGACCCCGCATCACGCGCCACGCAGCGCGCGCGGCACCGCGCCGCGTCAACGGGGCGGCGGGGCCGCCGAGCATCGCGAGCAGAGTCGCCAAACCCATGGGCGTGGAGCTCGACCACGCACGCGACTACTGTCAGAGCCCCGAATCATCCGGGGTAACTCGGGTCAGGGCTAACTCGGGTTAGTTGTTCGGGAATCCGAACCCGAGTTATCCTGGACCCGAGTTACCCCGGATATTTCGGGCGTCCAGAGCCCCGAATCATGAGGTGTAACTCGGGTCAGGGCTAACTCGGGTTCGTTCTTCGGGAACCCAAACCCGAGTTACCCCGGACCCGAGTTACCCCGGATAACTCGG